AACAAGTTATGAAAATTAATTAAATTCCAACTATAAGGTATTTGAAAGAGTGACTTTTCAGTTTTCCATTGCATATTAATTTTTTAAATCGGTTTATAATTATGGAAGTTACCTACAGCTATTTAATTCGATACACCTTTTTGTTATAACCAAAAATTTCCAACTGGGATTTTTATGGCTAAATATTCATTTTCGGCCCTTCACCAGGCACGATTCTTTTTCATAAAATTTTTTCATACCTTTCTGTCCCCGAAAGATTGCATCATATTACAGTTTCACCCTGTACAGTTTGTATTGTAATAAAGTAAGGCTTGTGCATCTTTAACTTTTTAACATTTGTTTGCGCAGCAAAAAATTTGCACGAATTTTGAATAGCAGAATATTATATCTTTTTTTAGTGTCACGAATTTTTAAAATTTTGTCAGAACAAGACAAAATCTTTTGACCTCCACAAACTATACTTTATGATGAATTGGCTTATTATACATATATTTATTAGAGTGAGAAGCATAACAAGAATTAATTTAAAATTGGGAAATAGCAACAATGTTGAACCATTTTTGTAAAATAAACCCCAGGGTAGCCTCTGCACAATTTTAAAAAGGTTATCCATAAATTATTCTGAATAACAACTCTTTGTTGAATATCATGAATGGCAACCCAAAATTGCTATAACTTTTAAATGATATTGGCACGAGTACAAAATTACAAAAAAAAAACTTATAACAAGTTCACCTCTTGAAAATTTCATGCTACTCTTTAACTATTAAAATATCTGGTCTTTGATTACTAATCTTCTATAATCTGTTTACATATACGTCGACATAGGTACGTATATACCAAGATTTTTTTCTTAATTACTTGTTATTCTAATATTGAAAAAATCTTACGAAAAAGAAGTAAGATTGCGATCGGCAATTTTTCTTTTTTTTTTTATAATTTAACTTTAAAAACTTGGTATAAAAAAATAAAAACTTTACTTAAATTTACCGTCTTTTTTATGCTGACTTTGATTGATAACTAATCAAAAGTCAATCATATGCGTGATATTATATTCCATGTACATGTATATGTAAGAAGATAGAAAGAATTTAATATACTAACATCCTTAAGTTATTTTTAGTTGGGTAACGTGTAAAAAGTAAAAAAATTAAATTAAAATTTTATTTTCAGAATAACAAATTTACATTTTGAAGCGCGGATTTTTTAAACACACTTCTATAACTTTCATATGGATGAATTAAAAATTTTGACTAATCAAGCAAATACGTAATTCAATAATATTGTATGTAATTCATTTTACAAGTAATCTAAAATGAGCTACATACAATGAGCTGAATACTGAGTGCTAATTACTGATAATTGTGTGGTGATAGAGTTGCTTTACGGTATTGCTTCCGACAATTAATAATATAATTGCGCAGAGTGTAATTTTAGAAGAAGTGAACATTTCCATTGGTTCATTTCTTTTACTATTTCGAAATTAAATGAAGAGGCAATTTAAAATTAAATAGCTCAATAACCGTCAATAGCTTAATAGCTCATAAACCGTGTCAGCTCTATGATACCAATACGAATGAAGGACTTTAAATGCTGTGTATGAATTACCACACTATTTCATACGTGTTTCCCTAGTTGATATTTCTCCACTGTAATTTGGCAGTTGGCGAATGTATGGCAGTAACCACCCTAAGTGAAGAAATTTCAACGAGTTTTATTAAATTTAACAGACCTAGTAAAATATTTGCTTGTGCAAAATTTCAGTGCAGCTCATGATTTCAACTGCTTCTACCGAAAATAATGGCCATATTATAATATTTGCTTTTACAATGTTTCGCTACTATGTACATCAAGTAGTTTCTAAAATATGACTAAATAACTATTGGTCATATTTTAGAATAAGTTGTATGGCGGCTATCACAAGAAGTCAAGAAATTTCAACGATTTTTTCACACATAACAGCTTCAATAAATTCTAAGATATAGCTTAATAACTTTTAAAATTGCAGGGCAGTTATCCGAACCACTGTTTCGATCACATCCAATTTAAATACAGTTCTGGCATTTACTATCTAAAAAAATTACTAATATAAAAAGTAATTCCAGTGATTTTAAATACAATTTATTAGACTTACTGAACTCCACTAAGCACAAATTTATATTGCAGATTTAAAGTTTATTAAGTTTTTTCACAATTTATTTATTCAAAAAAACTCAAAAGAATTAAGCTTAAAGTGCAGAGATGTACTGTCTTTTTTCAATATGAAATGTATAAACGAAAAAAAAACAAAATAGAGAAAAACTAATGATTAGTTAGTCAATCTGACTAGTTTTAGGAAGCCATGACCACCCAGTTGTTTTTTAAGGTGGGTTAAAGTCCCCAGCTAATGGTAGTTCTGGCGACAATACAAATTCATATAGTTTTATCTCTTGATAATTATTTTGAACACCTGTTTTAAACAAAAAGCATTTGTTATCATCACAATAAAAAATTTATCGACTGACTTTTATAAGATTATAAGATTTATTTTTTATTCAAAATTCCTTACCCGCAGTTTCTAATAATTTTAATTTTTGATAATCTTTAATTATCAATTCTGTGTTAAAACTCTTAGTATTATTTTATTTTTTTTCAAATTTATACTGGCGACTAAATTGATAGACATTTTGATATTTGATTTTAAATAAAGATTTTAAAATATTTTAAAAAGTACTTGTTCTTCATGATAAAATTAATGAAGTGAGTAACACAACTTTCAGTGAATAAAATATTAAAATTTACAATCAAAAACAACAAAAAATCCAATTAGAAAAATTTAAGTATATATGCAAGTAGCTAGAAGCCATTATAGCATTCATAATATTGAAAAGTAAACGTTCATAATAAAATTGTTGAACGTATAGTGTATAATAGCTATTATTGTGCAAAAATTCACTTGTCTATTGCGCTAGTCTTCGAATGACTTTTTGCTTTAATGAAGATTTTTATCAAATTTATTTTAGCATTTTAATACCTACATACATATTTATGTTTCAGCGCCCCTATAGGCGAATTATTTTTTTTTTGTTTTATTCTTTTACAAATAAAATTATTAAAGTTGATGCATCATAACACATTCTCTTTATTATTTTGATTATTTTCCACTAAATGTAATTTATACACTGGAATAACAACAGTGTTATATCAACATCTAAAGATGAAGATGTAATTAATTCATTCTATAGTGTTGTTTTTGTGTTTATGTACCATTTTTTTTGTTTTCTTTATTAAAAATTTTAATTTAATTATTGTACGTTCTTTGAAAATTTTTAAATTAAAATATATATTTTCTTTCATATAGACCAGTAGAATCTACATAATGTATGTATGTTCATATAAACATAGTTATAAGTTTTTGTTGAAACTTTTATCAGTGCCGGATTGGGTTTTCTTTTTATTTTTCTGAAAGGAACCGCGGTCCATTAATTATTCTCATTGCTACTTTTGCTGAACCGCAAAAACAATTTGACCGGGTATTTGACCGGGTACTTGCTTGTTGTCATCCTGTTTCGAGAAATATACTTGGGTGAAATTGAATTCATTTTTGTGAATTGGGTCGAATAGATGCTTATCTCCAATTTGGTTTTAATTTTCAGTCTATATATTACCGCGTTTTTGTCTTAAAATTTTGAACATAATTTAAGTGAGAAAATTTTTTATTTTTTTTCTAATTAAAATTGATTTGGAACCAGATTTGGTTTTATTTTTTTTTTAGTAGCCCTCTACTGTTCAAAGAGTTACAAATATGAAAAGTGCTTAACAATTTAAAAATTAAAATTTACATAGTCAACTCTTGTAAAACAAAAAATTTTTTTTTAAATATTCTGTTTTGAGCAACATTTTTAATGGTTGTTTTGACGGTTAATTTATTTTTTTTTTTAATATGACTTTGTGTACAATCATTTTTGTATCTTGTTCTTCACATCTTAAGCTACCACCTAAGCTGTACAAAAAAAAAAAATTTGTTTTGTTTTAATTTGTTGCTTGTTTTTTTTTTACTAAAGAATCATCATCACTTCTTAATAAATATCCACGCGTAATTGTTCCATTTACTATCACCGCCTTATATTTAACTTTAATTAACATATTATAAACATGTTGGACGCGATTAAAATATTTATGCAGTCAACTAATGCATATATACATACATAAGAATATATATATATTATGAAATTTGTATATAAAACAAACCATTCTACTATTCAGTCTTAAATAACAGTTTCTAACAAATAAATTTTGTAAAAGTTAATGAAGTAAAGAAGCTGTAAAAGAAATAAATTTAAGCACTATAGATTGCACGCACCTATACCAATATACAAACATTTTATATAATAAACCCCTGCTAAAAATCGTTTTCGGGCTGGAAATTTATGAATTACCAACTTTAAGCAAAATTATTGAATTTAAAGCTCGTACCTAATTTTTATATATATTTTTTTTTTTTTTTTCATAGCGCCATAGAGTTTAACTAGGTAGGTGACTAGCCTGCCTTAGTTTTATTTATATTAATTATTTGAGGTTATTAATATTTACTGTTTATTTTTCTTAGTTTATTTTTTTTAATATCGAATATTAGGAATATTTGAAAATTACTTGTATAATATTTTTATTAGTATTGTATATTAAGTTATAATAATATTGAATATAATTTTTATAGTGACCTAACCGGGGTTTGAACCCGAGACCCTTCGGTTAAAGGACCGGTGCCATAACCACTGCACCAATGGTTAGTGTTACTAAAAATTTTTGGAAATTTTGAAAATTTCCGAATTGTTCTATATTGAGGTTACTTTATTCGAGGGATTACTGCATTTAAAATCATGCAAGCGAAAGTATAAAATTTTTAATTATGAAATTAAAAATAATAATAAAAAAAAAAAACAATTTATAGCGCTGCGCGATGCGCTTATATTTAAAGTTAATATTTAGTTTCTTGTTGGAAATTAGTGAGATAAGTTCAAAAACACTTTTGCAATTCATCCACTTACATATTATTTATATTCAACATAATAAATAATTTAGTGAATAAATTAAATGATAAATTTAATTTTTTTAAACATAAAAAATTAAAGAACAGCATTCCTATATAAATAATACCAACGTTTGTAATTTAGTAATGATATTGATGAAGGAGAATTATAAAGGTGAGCTACACTTTAATTAAATGTTAGGAAATAATTTGAAAAAATCGTTACCACAATATAAACATAGATTATATCTCTAAGAATTTTCAAATTTTACAAAATTATATGATTAGTCTGTTCAGATTCTGAATGTCATTTTTCAAAACTTTTATAAAATTCAATTATAATTAACAGCAACTTCTTTGAATTCTATGTGTATTTTATATTGAAGGAAAATGTGCTTTGGTCTAATATATAATTTCTTTACGAAAATTGAAATTATTATTGAAATTATTATTATTATTTAAGAAAATTCTTTTCAAACGATTGGTCTCAAAATGAAGATAACTGTAATTCCACTACTATTCACATGTTTCAAAAACATGTGGATTCAATCAATATTTTGTCAACAGCTTAAATTTTAAATTTTCAAAATTTCGATTTCTCTAATCTTTAATTCTGCAATTTGTAAGCAAATTCTCTAAATCCAACAAAACCCTATATTGCACCCAACTCCTTTTTCTTCTTTTAATCAATTATTCACAAAATTTACAGTTTCTGTAACACCAAGAGTCAGAACTCAAATAAACTAACTATAGTACAATAATAAAATAGGTGCTTTTTTAAAAAGTTAAAAAGTAAAAGTAATTAGTGCAATAACGTGGGCTTTTGCATATTTTCCTTACATATTAGTACTAAGATTTTTCAAATTCAAAATAAGCATTAAAATCTTTTTAAGAAAATATTTTTAAAATAATCAAGAATAGATTTCGAATTCCAAACGTAACTCAGGGACCTTACTATATGTAACTCGATTTTCGTATTCGGTATACGAAATGGATTTTATACGAATACAATCAATTTGTATGATACTACCTTTCCAATTCTGCAAATATGCAAATTGACCTCAAAACGGCGAAATGACGCTAATCTCATGAATTTCAGATTTTTTTGTTCATTTTCATAACGCAAGTGCTTGTTACTTGATGTTTTTTTTTTAATTTGTTTATGCATTGCTATGCATTTACAAACACTAATTATTATTAAGAATTACTGGTTTTGATGAAGAAAAGGAAAACAGGTTTTAAAAAAGAGGAAAGAGATTTTTATTCATAAATTATTGAAAATCTAAATTATGAACTGTTACTAATATTTTCAAGAACTTTTTCTAATTTTAATTTGACCAATTTAAAATTATCCGAATTTAACCAAATTTTCAGAAATTTTGAGCCAGTGCTATTATCATAATTTTGTTCTTAAGTTAAATTTTAGTTTAACAATTTATTTAAACTTGTAAATTTCAGAAAAGTTTTAGATTACCTGCTGTTTAAGTGTGTTATTATTGTGCATCACAACAAATTATGCATAACAACAGCTTTTCATAACGAAAGGTTAATAAATAACATTTTAAGTGTATTTAAAAGAAACCGAGTATATCGTAAATCTTCAACAAATTATTATGAAAAGGTGTAAAGAATTTTAAGTTCATTCTCGCAATTCATCATCTACTTATATAAAACATTGTATGTTAAAATTTATGACATTCAATTTAATAAAAATGGAAATCAAAATTCGCGTCTTATAATATTATTGGAATTCTAGACATTAACTATTTAGAAATTGTTAAAAAATTACTATTATAAAATAAAAACAAAATTAACATATTAATAGAATTTATTCAAATTTTTATTTTTTTTTTGTTCCTTCTACGACTTTATTACACACACATTTTTCTTTTCTCTATTCCAGATGAAAGGATGTTGTTACTTTTTATTTATTTCGGTATATAAAGAAGATGTTGGAAAAAAAACAACTATAAGAAAATATGAAAATTTTTCTAAAAAAAAAAAAAAATTCTTGAATTGAAGCCATTTTTAAATAACATTTTCATTCCATTACTTGTATACAGTCGGTCGGTATTCAGGACCCGCTGAAGTTAAAATGAAAAGCAAAACAAGAAAAATCAGAAAATTTCAATAATTATAAAGCATTCAACTATAGAGCGCCACTTATATAATAAGAAAAAAAAAAAGTAAGTAACGGGAGGTTATGCTAAAAAAAAAATAAAAAAATATGAAAATTTCGAGAAAATTTTTTTACACTTTCTTGAGTCCATAAGAGGACTTTTACTGGCTGGTTTTTTTAAAAAGAAAAATAAATATAATTTTTTTTTTTAATAGAAAATGAAAATTTATGAACATGTTCTTATTTTTTTTTCTCTTTTTTTTTTGAAAATTTTAATTTAATTTTATATTATTTATTTATTTTATCATTATTTTCTCTGATTTTTGTTTTTTTCTTTTTCCAATTCTATAAGAGTGATTGAGAATAAAAGAAAATAACGTACCTGTGTGCTGTGTGTGCCTTGAATCGACTTTCACAATTCTAAAAAGAAAAATTTATTAATTTCAGACACAAATTTGTTAACAAAAGCAAAGTGATATTGTATAAAATGTTAACGATAGTCTACGATTTCATTAACCCGATTCTTCTCAACATGCTGATATTGGCACAGACTTGTTTCATATAATTTTAAAACCTGTTCCAATTTTAATACAATCCTAAAATTTATACTACTACAGATTTATTACTGATATACTTAGAAAAAATAGGGTTGTATTGCAGAATCACTTAATGAAAAAGAATCAATTTTAAACTATTTATTGGAGCTTTGATACATAAAATACTAATTAGGGTGTAATACAACTAATTTAAAACCAATTAAGGAAGTAATTTTAAAATTGGTTAATCATAGGGTAATTTGTTTTTTAGTATAAAATTGTGGAGAATCATCTTTCATAATTTATTGTCATTGGTAAAGTCATAAATAAGTTTTACAATTAATATAAGACATTAAAATCGAACAAAACATAATCCATAGCAATTTTTAAACAACAATCAGCAAATAGTAAAAAAAAATGTTTCTTCCATCGGATATGACTCATAATGTCCGGTTACATTTGATTTTGCCTAATTTCTACACAAAAAAAAACTGATACCAAACAGTAAAACAATCAATTATTACAAGGTAAATTAAAGGATAATTAAATTTATATGTTAACCCATTTCACGCAAATTGCGTTATTTGAGTTTATATCGTAAAAATAAACTCAATATATTTTCATTTTGTATGAGTATAATTTTCGACAATATTAATTCAAGAAGCATTTACAAATCGGATTTTTTTTTAGACAAATAAGAGTTATTGATGTACTTGTTTATTCCATATATGTCTTCGCTTCTCGATCTATGTTTTCTATTTTAAGTAACACAAAACTTTATAAACTAATTAAAAATTGAGCTAAACTGCTATAGAAAATTGAGAAAATTGAGAAGAATGAAATTCTGAAATAATGTTAGAATAGGATTCTATATATGGAGCTTAGTACTCATGTCACCACAACGGGCCCGGGTGGGCTAGGTGTACCCTTTAAGGGTACACCTAGCGTAACCTACCTAGTACTCAGCGATTTTTACAACTCAAAAGTATTGTTTTCATAATCAATATTTTTTTTATAATGAAATAAGGCAAAATAGTTTTTTTCTTCTACATTTAATTGTGCTTCAATTTTTTGTCCAAATAAAGAAAAAAATTTTTCGTCTAAAAGCAGAATTTTAATAAAATGTGGCGTTCCAGCAAAGCTGTAAGGAATAAAATTTGATGGTGAGTTTTAATGGCGTACACATAAAATTTTCTTTTTTATCGCAAGGCCCGAATAAAATTCTTTTACTTTTCCAGTCAATATTGTTTTTTCTTTTCTTAAATTTTGGTTGAGAAAAATTTCATAGAAAAATTTCCATTTTCTTTTTCCAATACTCAATTTTACTTTTTTTCCTTTATTTTAATTTTTTTCTATAATTTCCGAATGAAAGTAATAAAAAAAAATTTCCTTTGAATGAAAAGAAAATTTTCCACAATATTTTTTTTTTGTAATTCTTTTTTCTTGTTTACCTCTTATTCAGGATTCGTCAGAGTTTTTAAAGGTAAATACAAGAATTCATTTTTTTTTTCTAATATTTTTTTTTCTTTCTTTTTGTGAATACTTTCCTTATTTTCTTCAATTGAAAATAAACGAACCAAACTGAATTCTCAAGTCATAACCATCATCATTTTGTAGCCATTATTAGTATTACCATCGTCATCATCATCACCATCATCATTACTTTTAAAAATCATCATTCTGTATTCATCATCGCAGTTTTGTCTGATCGCCATTAATTTCACCCTCGTTACAAATTTTTTTTTACCCCGTCAAAAAGAAAAAAATCACTATTTTAAGGGTGGGTGAATATTTTTTTTTCTTTATACTTCTTTCTCTTTCTTTTTCTCTATTCATTTCTTTTAGTTCATGCATTTTGTATTTTTAAATAAATTTGACAAGGACGATGAAGACGACGACAGCTTCCTTGTGTTGTGTTGTTTGATTACCAAAGTGTTTGTCAAATTTTTTTTCTTTTCTTCGTTGTTATGTATTTATTTTTTTCTTTTTCAATAAAAAAAAATTTATAACAAGGACATTTAAAGATAAGATGAGTGAGAAGAAAAGAAAATTCTTCCTTTTTCATAAAAAAAATTAAACGAAAAAAAATAAATTCTTTTTCTTTCTCAGTTCCTAATAGAAATGCTCGAGGGCACAAATATAAATATGTATAATATGTATGTATATATATGTATGTAATTAAAATGTTAGCGTTGAGTTGTATTGGTCATTCAATAATCAGCCATTCCATTTTTTTTTCATATTTCTTTTTCCTTTAATAAAGGAAAAATTTTTATTTATTACTTTTTTTTTTTATTTAAAATTTAAAAAAGAAATAGATTCATTAGAGTAAAAAAAATTATAAAAGCAATAAGATAAGCGGGCACAATTTAATGATCACACAACTGTAAGTAAAATGTTATGCCGAGATTTATAAGTATGTTTAAGCAATGAGACAAGTCACTTGGAAATACACAAAATTTTCAAAATATTAAACTCATATAGACATAATATATACATACGTTTTGGAATTTTGATTAGAATTGAGAGAACTAATCCATTTATAATGAAATGTAGTTGGGTTTGAATAAGAGATAGCCAAAGATCCTTTCTTAGTAAAGTTATTTTTCCTATTCCTTGAATTTTTAAACAGTTTAGATCTACACATATAGCCCTTGTACGAATATAGGATTTTTTGCCCTCCAATTAAGACCAATTAATGTCCAAAATTTTAATTCCTCTTAGTTATTCTCTAACTCAGTATGTTTTATTCATTTAAGCGGAATATTCTCAAAATTGTCTCTTTAAGCGCAAATTCATTTTCTATCGGCATTACGCTTACACTTCTCACTTCGTTAAAAAGAATGTTGTTAAAAATCACGACCGCAACCAAAACAGTATTAGACGTCGAACTAGATAAGAAGATCTGTGTAAATGAGACAAAAACTTTCGACCCTTTGGAATTCTTCATGTTCTTAGCATCAAAAATCTTTGATCAAAAATTGCCGTAACGAATAAAAATTCAAAATTATCGTAATTTTGTTCTTCATTATTATTTGAAAAATGACACCACATGAAAATTATGTGAATTGTAAGACGCTGTTGTCAAAGCCGTAATGAAATTCGTCAGTTTTAAATAGGGTTTTGTACTTAAATTTATACACTTTAACAAAAAAACTAGAATATTTAAGATTAAGGCCTAAAACTAAATTAGTAGTAAAATGATTGATATTATATCCTTATATGTATTATACTTAATGGCAATTTTCTCCAGAAGAATTCCAAATGGACAAAATAAATTTTAACTTGAGACTGTTTCAATTTTCCATTTAACAATTTTTCCTCCCGTTTGAATTTTTTTTATAGTATTGATAGATTCATATTTTTCTTTCATTTATTTATTAATGTGTATTGGAAAAAAAATCGAATAATTTATTGATTTTAATTTTATTTTAATAAAAATTATTTACATATTCAATACATAAAATTTTCTCATTTACTATACATTTAAAATTTTCTACAAATATTTTATAAGAAAAGAAAACTTAGGTCATTATTTATTTGAAGATAATTAACAATTAAATTAAAAAAATGACAAAATATTTTAATTGAAATAGCAATTCAAATTAAACTAGTTCTTTGGTAGTCTAAAATCTAGTTCTTTGGAAGAGTCTAAAATCAATTTTAACTTACATGTATTAAATTCTTTATATGTACATTTTTTTATCATTGTCGAAGAGAGACATGGGCAAAAGAGATACATTCCTCCCCCGCAACCACCGTAACCTATCATAGCTTATTGTAACTCTCCCATATCCCACTTAAACTACGCCGTTTCCAAGTAAATACCCGGAGATATCTCCTCCTCCCTCCCCAATATTGGGAAAGCCCCGCCCCAAACCATCTGCATCTCCTGCAGCTAGAGCAGGACTGTCACATAAAATACGGCCGTTTCAGCAAAATCAATTTAAATTAACAAAATACTTTTGAAAATTCTCGAAATTAGCTGGAATTTTTCTTAGAATCCAAATCTTATACTTAATACATTCTTAGTGTTATATAGTATGAGTTATTTAAATAAGTATTGTTAATTGTATTCTGAAATTTTGCTTCATAACAGAGTGAAATATTTCTCATAATAATTTTTGACTTCGTATTATACTAATTATTTCAAATAAGGTCTGGGAAAGCGATTCATAACTTTATTTAAGCACATTACAGATGTGCTACTTGCAGCATTTATACTCGTACTAGTGCGTTTTGAAAAATTCTACAGTTTTATGTTTGTAATTTAATACACTTTTCGGTCCTTTTGTCTCAAATATGACAACAAGATTTAAAACATTAAAAAAAATTTACTAATTTGCTAAGATTTTTGATCTTGTTTATATTATATAAGGTGACCGGTTTTCATTGGTAAATTGTATTTATATTTCTTTTCACTGTTAAACCCAAATATAGCACTAATTTTAATTTAATTGAAGACATCATTTTTTAAAAATCCACTTTTTAGTTACCGCTAAATCGTCTACATTTAAAAAATTCCATTCGTGTTTTAACACCATCAAAATGTTATCGAAAAACTTTTAATGATGAAAGTTTAAGTTTTTGTTCTACTTTTTTTTTAGTACACTAATGATATTGGATGAAAGTTTTCTGAATGAAAATGCAAAAAAAATTCTGATGAAAAATTCTTCTTATCATTGCAAAAAGTGGCCGAACTTTTTAAAAAAAAATTTTTTTTTTGAATTTTTTTTTATATTATATAATTAATAATTATTAAAAGGTATTTTTAATGTTTACTCTAAAAGAAGAAACACAAACATAAAAAAAATAGAGGCGAAATCTATGAAATAAAATCAAAAGGATTCAGACCCTTCTTCTTTCTAATTAAGAAAAGAGTATAATCCGTACAGAAAACTTTGAAGTGTGAAAAGGGATAAATTTTTGTTTTTAAATATTTGTACTTCAAATAAAGAGTGCGTTTGCTGTTATGTTTTCATTTGTTGGGAATGAATTAATAAGGAAAGTAATTAAGTTAAGAAATACATTTTTACTATTATTTTTCCTTAGCAAATGCTAAATAAAAATTTGTGGTCTAGGACATTTTTACGATAGACGCGATATGATAGCAAATATTTATTTATGCGTACAGCGTCTGAGTCTTTTAGTATATTTTTTCTCTTTTTACCCCCCTAGGAGGTAGACGATAAGTATTGTTCCCCAGATATTAAGTATTTAACAAGTAGCTTGTTTTCTTTATATTAAATATTTAAGGTCAGTAACCTTAACATAATAAAGTTAAGCTATAGTATTGCATATCAAGCTATATAATATTGAGTATAATTTTTATATAACCTGTGGGGGTTTGAACCCGAGACCCTTATCTTAAAGGACCAGTGCCATAGTTAGTGCAACATTAGTTGATATTTAATAAATATAAGCTTTTATAAAATTTGTCGTTAAACGTCCCTTTTGAATTCTCATCAACAGAAGTTGTACAACAAAAGCTGCACCGTCATAAGTTGCGATGTGAATCGGGTGGGATTATCCCGGGTCAATATCATTTAACAATATGATGTATGAAGTTCCTAAATTTTTTTCTTTATCGTTTATTTGAGTTGGGAGGTCGCCTTGTAGTCCTCTTCTGCTTATTTAAAATTCTCAGATTTTTGAACGATTATTAAATATATTATTATTATTATTATGCGTCTAGGTATTATTCTTTCTCTGAAAATTCAATAACTGAATTGAAATTTTGTGCATAAAAAATATAAAATTTATTGAAATGATTTATAATATGTACAAATAATTATTATAAATTTACTGAACAACAAAAATATTATGAGTAAAATACGAAAAACCACATTGATGCTTGGATTAGAAATTTAAATTAGTTTTTTTCTCAAATTATTTTTTTTTTAAGTAAACAAACTTCTTTTAAAATTCTCAATTTTATTTTATATTTTATTGTTATTAATCTACACCAGATAATTTCACTGTTATTTTGAAGATTTATTATCCTTTTTTCTAATATTATTAAAATTTATTTTATTATTTTACTTTTCAACAACAACAACAGCAACAATAATAACAGGAGAATACAAGACTGATTTAATTATCACGTGATATATTACATACATATAATATTTGGGTATATAGAGTTTATAAAGTAACAAGGATAACATTAAAAATTTGTATACAATTACAATACATAGCACAAAAAAAAAATTCGAGATTTTTTTTATGGCGTACAAGATATTAATATCGTAAGCAATTCATATTACATATTAAAATATGTATTTGATAGTTACCCAGTCGGACTTTTTGGAATTCAAAAATTCAAAAATTTAAGTTATTTCGATATTATAGCACAGTTTTTTTGCAGTTATACATGACGTGACAGCGCCAAAACTGTTGACATTTACTTTTTGGTTATATGAACTTTTGCGGTCTATGCTATATTTTAAGTTATAAAGCGATCTAAGTTACCAAAATACTAAGCTTGAAACAATCTTCGAAAAGGCAAGTAAATGAATTTTCTTTTATGCTGCATTTGATGATCGCAGTATATTTTATTTTAACATAATTCATTATTTTAGGTAGCTCTAAATAGTATGTAGTGTGTTCGGGCCTCATCGCACTTCGCACTAAAATTTAATTTGTCGCATTATTTTTTTCCTCGAAAACTCCGAATAGTATCTAGTGTATCCAGATGTCTTCGTAGTTCGCACTAGATTATCTATCTAAAATTCAAGTTTATTAAACCCCTACTACATCATCGAAATTCGCACTAAATTTAAAGTAAACATATACAAGTTGAAGTAAATAAAAATAGTAAAAAAAATATTTTAAGAAAAAAGCGAATATTTAAAAATAAAAAACAAAATAAGTAATTCAATAAATCATATTATAATGAAGAGAATGTGATAACTAATACTATTCGTGTATTGGTAGACGATTCCCAACAAATTAGTGATATAGTAAGATTAATTCTTCATAAACACTATGAAGAAACTGTTAGATAATAAATAAATACTACGTGTTTCAACTT